GAAATACCTCGAGCCACACTTCTGCTGAGTAACTTCTCTGTCATTGCATATTTTCTCTTGAAAATCTTCACTCACGAAACCTTCAGTGGGTGAGCTTCAGAGGAGGTGCTTTACTATTTTTTCTTTTCTTAGCAGGAATCTGGAAACTTCCATGCCTTGATGTGCCAGTTCGAGAGAGATACCTCGACATGTGGAGAGCCAGATATGAAAACTATCGTAAAGAGATGTCCAAAGCTCTAAAATCGAGTGATGAGTCAAAGAATTATGCTGCCAACGAGGTGATCAACAAATACAAGCAGGTAATAAAGTAGCCATGAAAGACGAGTAGTAATTAGTAAATCTTCACGTGGCCGAGTTTTCTTGTTTACTGGCTTTTGAACAAATGCAGTTGTTGTACGAGGCTTCAGATATGGAAGAAAGTCAAAAGGACAGTAGTGTGATCTATGATGAAGCCATTGCTATTTATAATGTGACTTATGACTATGCAATGAGCCATGGTGTCGAGAAATGCGGCTTTGCATGGAGGGTTGCTGGGTCTGCACTCTGTAGCCTGTGTGCATGGCAGTTAGCCAGTCCAAACGAAAAACCAGTCGTAATACTACCATCCGTTCTCCGTGATTTATTGAAATAAGAACTGCTAGGATCAGACTTAATACGTAGCCAGTAGTCCATGTTAATAGAAATAGAGATGAAGTGTTTATCCGTCTTTTTTGTTTGTACCTAGTGTCTTGCATTGTAGATAGGAATGTTGAGCCTAAGAAAGATCATGAGTATGAAAATGTTCACTGTATGTCCTCCGTGTAATGATAAGTCAGAAATATGTGTCTATTTAGTCGATTAATTTAGGATTTTATATTAACTATTTGAGTTCAATTGACATGTGTTTGACATTATATTGTATTTTCGAGTGAAAACTATCGATTTTTGAATTTTTGTACAGTCCCCATTCGGTTAATATGAATTATCGTATTTTTATTTCGATATGTTATCGTGTGTATTGCTCGATGTATCTTGTTTAGATTTATTATTATTTAATTAGATATTCTCGTCTAATTAATTTTATAAGTCGTTCAATTATATTTATTATTCGTCGTCAATCGAATCGATCGGGAATTATTGTTATCGTGTCGTCTTCGTCCGAGCCGCTTTCCGCGCAAGTGTTAAGTTGTACTCCGCCTTTTACTAATCTTGTTCTGGCCCGATTTATTAGGGGGTGATTGTTTATAAATTCAACTAGATTTTAATTTGTTTTTTTTAACTATAGTTAATTTTGAAAAAAGTGGTATGGTTAGTTGTTAATGGATATATTAAAATAAAATAAGTAAAGTTGATATGATGTAAAAGTAGGAGAAAAATGATTGGAAGTGATGGTTAGTTAAAATTATGTGTATGGATAAATAGTGAATTAAAATTGATGTGATGTGTAAGAATGATTGGTTGATATTATTTAATTATATTGATACTATTTGAGATAGTGGAGTTGGGTTAAAGTGAAGTTAAATTTGAGTTTTGATTGAGTTTTTTTTAGTTGAGATGATAAACAATCACCCCCTTAATGATTGAGGAAATTACTCAGAGGACGATTACACACATATTTATTTTCACTTTTACTGTTTAATAATAACCTATAGCAAAATTACAAAATCATCTAATTTTATTTGCAAGAGACATTCAATTTAAGCAATAAATATGTATTATCTTCAATTAAAACAAATTTATTATGAGCAATTACCAAATAAAATCAAAACCAACTCCCCCTTTCACGCAATATTACTGCTCATCTCTCCCACGAGGGCCATGACCAAATCGACCACCTCCTCAACGCAAATTCCTCATCACTAAACAATAAGTTCATTTTTTATAGCCAAAACCAAAATCACGCCATAGCCAGTGAAACCCTCGATCGCGGTGCCGGTGTTCATGAACTTAATGTTTAAAGTTTCTCATTTTTTTTCTCTTTCCCTACAGTTAAAAATTTTTATGTGTTTNCGGTGACGCGCGACTTGGATGAGCGCGGGGCCGGCGGATCGATGGATTGGCAGACCCGCCGAGAGTAAGACGACCCTAAGCCCCGACTGGCTACCACCAAATCATGGAGTGCGCTGGCCCTCCAACAGCCAGAGATAGCGATTCGCCGACGGAGGTGATTGGAGGCAGACCCGAAATTGTCCGAAAAAGACGCCACAGAGGACCCCGATTTATAGTTAAAGACGACAATCCAACTGGGGGTGATGAAGTTGAAGAAAATATGAGTGTAGCCGACATTAACGAGCAGAGGTTGAAACAAAAAAATAAGAATTTTTGTGGGATATGTTACGTTTATATACAATATATTTTCAGTATATGGTCCTCCATCACCAGAATCTCAGTGACGATACGACAATTTGCTAGTGAGCGGCGGCGGCGACATACTTTGATGATTTGTTTCATTGTTTATTTAATGTTTACTCATAGTCTATGTTTGGTATATTAGAAGATTTTTTTTTTTTTGTTTTATTTGTGTTTATTTTTTAATTATTGAGTACTTTTTCTGTGAATAGATATTTTGTTTTTTATGTTTTCAATGTTTATTTGATGTTTATTCATACTTTATGTTTGGTATATTAGAAGATTTTGTTGTTGAAGACGAATTTGACAAATGAACAATTTGTTGCTTTTTTGTTGTTTTGGTATAATAGAAGATTATTGCAACATATATTAACTATAAACGCAACATATATACTGCACATTCAAAAACACCCGAGAGCTGAAAAAATTATTGAATATAAAAGCAACATATAGTTCGTTGTC